GCACCTGGCCGCGGCTCCGGTTTATTCGTCACGGGAGGTGATGCTGCGCCGCCGCCCGGGTGCCGGACTCCTGATAATTCGTCACTTCGGAGAACTCGCCGCTTCCTTCAGACGAATTAACCGGAATTCACCGCATTTAGATGCACACAAGTGTGTGTGCGTGTGTAGACACACACATGTGCGTGCTTGCATACACGTACACATGTATATATGCACAAACACACATATTCACGGTCATTTAGCTGTACACGTTTGTGTGTATAATGTGCACGTGTGTATGTATATACACATGCATGCACACACATATGCACAAACACATGCATGTGCATTTAGATGCACACGTGTATAATGTGCATGTGTGTATGTATATACACATGCATGCACACATGCACAAACACACATGCACGTGCATTTAGATGCACACGTGTGTATAATGTGCACGTGTGTGTATATGCACATGCGTGCGTGTGTATAATGTGCATGTGTGTGTGTATATACACACACATGCGTGCGTGTGTATAATGTGCATGTGTGTGTGTATATACACACACATGCGTGCGTGTGTATAATGTGCATGTGTGTGTATATACACACACATGCGTGCGCGTGTGTATAATGTGCACGTGTGTGTATATACACACATGCACACGTGTATATATGCACAAATGCATGTGCATTTAGATTCATGTGTGTGTAATATGCACACGTGTATGTATATATACATGCACGCACACTCATACACGTGTATATATTTACAAACATAGGCGCACACATTTAGATGTGTGCGTATGTGCGTGCATGTGCTCACAGACACACACACACACACACGTATGTGTATACATGGCACAAGCTTCCATGGACCCAAGGTCACTTCATCAGGTACAGCAGACGGCCGTGCAGAAAGCGCAAGTGCTGAGAGATTCATAGATTTCACAGACATTCGGGCTGGAAGGGACCTTGCAGATCATCGAGCCCAGCCCCCGCCCCACGGGGCAGGAAGCCAACGGGGGTCAAAGGATCCCAGCAAGATAAGCATCCAAGCGTTTCTTGAATGAATGCAGAGTAGGTGCCTGCACCACTTCTGGGGGGAGTCTATTCCAGGCTTTGGGGGCTCGGACAGTAAAGACATTTTTCCTTATGTCCGGCCTAAAACGGTCACGGAGGAGTTTGTGACCACTGGTCCCTGTCATCCCTTGGGGTGCTCTGGTGAACAGACGTTCCCCCAGATCCTGATGCACACCCCCGATGTACTTATAATCAGCCACCAGGTCCCTCCAAGCCTGCATTTTTCCAGGCTGAAGAGTCCCCTGGCTCTCAGCCTCTCTTCATAAGGCCTGTTCTCCTGACCTCTGATCATGCGCGTGGCTCTCCTCTGCACTCTCTCAAGCCTCTCCACATCCTTCTTGAATTGCGGAGCCCAGAACTGGACGTAGCACTCCAGCTGCAGCCTCACCAAGGCCAAGTACAAGGGGAGAATGATGTCCCGGGATTTGCTTGAGAAGCATCTATGGATGCAAGCCAGCATTTTGTTTGCTTTACCAGCTGCGACATCGCATTGGTGGCTCATGTTCATCTTGTGGTCAACCCTGACCCCCAAGTCTCTTTCAGCCGTGGTGCTAGCGAGCGTAGCACTGCCAAGCCTATAAGCATGTTGCGGGTTTTTTTTCCCCGAGGAGGAGTACCTTGCATTTTTCGGTATTGAATGTCATCAGGTTTGTATTCGCCCACTTACTAAGCTCATGCAAGTCAGCCTGGATCACTAGCCTGTCCTCAGTTGTGGACTCTGTGCCCCCAAAGTTTAGTGTCATCGGCAAACTTAGCCAGTGCACTTCTGACACCAATGTCCACATCGTTGATAAAGATGTTGAAGAGAACCAGTCCAAGGACAGAGCCTTGGGGGATGCCACTGGTCTCGGAGCACCATAACGACTCGCTAAGGGTGCCACGGGGAGCTCCTCGCCATCAGCACTGTTGGCTGTGTAGAGGCTTACACGCAATTCACACAATAAACCAGAGGTTTCAAGTCGGGATCCAGAGTGTTGAAGAACTGTTCTGCCCTGCTGTGGGCCTGCCCCGTTCTTCGCCACACAAGAATTGCTCTAGTATTTTTCTGTGGTCAAAAAACAAATGGAAGTTAAAAGCTGGCATTTTGTGAGGGGGCTGGAGTCTGAAAAGGGGGAGAGCCACTAACTCATCAGCCAAGTGTCATGGCAGTGGGGCCTTGCAGGTGGGAAATTGGGCTGTTAGCGTTACGCCCTTTAATGGCACATTTATACGTGGAGTAAACTGCCTGCCATTTCATCGTGCGTCTCAGTGTTCTTGGCCTTCATTTCTCATATTCGAGCACCTGGAGGCTCCCTGGTGAAATCTGCAGGGACAGAAACAGTGACTGGGATTTGTCGAGCTTGCATTCAGGTGATGCCCTTTGACCTGAAACGTTGTGATGTAATGCGGGTGACTGAAGTAGGGGGAAGCATGTTCCCTGGGGTTAAGACTGCCCTGTGCTTGCCGTTTCAGGTTGCAAAGATGGAGTTTCAGGCAGTGGTGATGGCAGCCGGCGGCGGATCGCGGATGATGGACCTGACCTCCAGCATCGCCAAGCCCCTGCTGCCAGTAGGCAACAAGCCTTTGATCTGGTACCCGCTAAATTTGTTAGAGCGGGTTGGATTTGAAGGTGAGGAATTGCCAGTTGCTAAACAGTAGAGGTTGGGACCGGCTGTAGTTCTCTGCACAATACAGCATTTCTTGTGCCTTTTTCTGCTCTGCTTTAAAACATACTGCCCCTTCCCTTGGGAGACTGGTCTGCAACCCAGCGAATATCACCTGCAGTAGTTCTTCCCTGGTATTCAGCCTAGATTTTCCTTCCCTTCCTTTCACCTCATTAAACCTCTTGCTAAATCCCCTTCCTTCTTGTTGTGACCATTCTTTGACTCCTTTTCAACAGTAATTTCCTCTTTCCTTACTTCCTTGCTCCACTTAATCATTTAAGTTCTAGCATTGGTCTCCGAAACCTTGTATGTGGACATAAAATTGGCACTCACCTCCTGCTTGCTGCTCCCCCGTTTGTATGTCTGGTGATCACGTGAGTCCTTTTTGCCCCTGTATCTTGCTAGGAGCTTGCTTTGAAGCGTTGGCCCACGTGACCCCTACGTCTGTTTCAGTGGTTATGTTCCAGGATGTGTCCCCCCTCCTCTCTTGTGTTTCCCCCACCCCATCCCTTTCCATAGGTATGTCATATATTCTTTGTTGATGCATCATCTTGCATTTGGTTGCATTGACTCACGTTTTATTTGAATGTGCCTAACCCACCAAGTGATGTACAGGCAACCCCAGCTTAGCGCTCTTAATTGGTTCCGGAAAAACCGAGCGCTAAGCAAAACCCATTTTCCCATAGGCTTTAATGTAAATAAATATAATTGATTCCTGCGCACCTGCCGCTTCCGGCAAGGCACTGCATGGGCTCTGCCAGGGAAAGTATCGCTCCTCCCGGCCTCGTTGCTCTGCCGCCGTGATGGCCCCTGCCGGCCTGCACCCACTGGCCACACACCTGTGTGTGGCCCCAGCCACCCTGCTTACAGGGCCTGAGTTGGGGACCCGCCCACCCAGGGATTAACGGTGAGCAGTAGGGCTCCGGCAGGTGAGTGCGTGACCGGAGCAGAACGGGTCATGGGCTGCAGGCTGGGGTCGGGGAGGCTCCATGGGCTTGGCTCCACTGTGGTCTAGGGCAGGAGACACTGTACACATGTCCTTGAGCAGTGGCTCGCACTGGCCCAGGCCCCACACTCCTGCCGGCCCTGACCTCGGGCACCGCGTTCCTGCAGCCCTGCCGGCCCTGGCCCTGGGCACCAGCCCGGGCCCTGTGCCCATGCCTCCCCCGCTCTTTCTCGCCACTACTGCCACTCCTCCCTGCCTGCTGGCAGGGACCCCAGGCTCCTGCCACCCCACTCGGGGCCCCACCAGCCCAGGCTCCATGCTTACACTGCCTGGCTCCCCACCTGCCCGTTCTCGCCACTGCTTCTCCCCACCCACTCCAGCACCATGTGCCGGAGCGCACCCTGGGCTCCTGCCACCCCACCCTGGGCCCTGCCAGCTGCCACTCACCATTTCACTCGACACCGCTACCACCATTGCTGCCGCCACTTTTTCCCCTCCCCGTGCGTGCAGAGCGTTATGACGAAACTGCTAAGCGCTAAGTGAAACCAAGTAGGTATTTTTAATGAGCACTATAGCAAAACCGCAGTAAGTGAAACCCCATTAAGCAGGGGTTGCCTGTACACTTCCCTGCATGACTGACTTGTTGTCTTGCCAGTCCCCACAAGTCTGATGTGTTGTGAATTTGGTGAGTGGTGATTTTTTTACTTTTACTTTCAGACCATTGATAAAAATGTCAAGTAGGCTTTGGCCTTGCCCTGACCCCGGGTAACTTCTCCAGAAATATCAACCCTCACCTTCCCCCACCTTTACTTCCCCTTGTTACTTTTGGGGCATGTCTGCACTTTGGTGGCAGCAACTCTCTTGTGCACATCCTACTCAGCCAGACCTGGAAATATACTGGGGAGGCCTGTCTTGGGTTATCACCAGCAGCCGTGCTGTGAGGTCTGGAAACCAAGGTCTTGAGAACAGACACGGGGATATACCTTGAGCTACCTCAGTGCTGCAATTCTGTCATTTGGGAGAGGGGGGGCTCAGGCATGCCAGGAGTACCCCTTCCAGGACACTGTGTCAGCATAGTTCACCCCATACTGGTGAACAAGTTAAGAGGCTGTGACTTGGATGACTGCACGGTCCGGTGGGTGGCCAATTGGCTAGAGGGGTGCATCCAGAGAGTCGTGGTGGATGGCTTGGTATCGACCTGGAAGGGTGTGGGCAGTGGGGTCCCGCAGGGCTCGGTCCTTGGACCGATACTCTTCAATGTCTTCATCAGCGACTTGGACGAGGGAGTGAAGTGTACTCTGTCCAAGTTTGCAGATGACACAAAAGTGTGGGGAGAAGTGGACACGTCGGAGGGCAGGGAACAGCTGCAAGCAGACCTGGACAGGTTGGACAAGTGGGCAGAAAACAACAGAATGCAGTTCAACAAGGAGAAATGCAAAGTGCTGCACCTAGGGAGGAAAAATGTCCAGCATACCTACTGCCTAGGCAGTGACCTGCTTGGAGGCACGGAAGTGGAAAGGGATGTTGGAGTCCTAGTGGACTCCAAGATGAACATGAGTCGGCAGTGCGACGAAGTCATCAGAAAAGCCAATGGCACTTTATCATGCATCAGCAGATGCATGACGAATAGATCCAAGGAGGTGATACTTCCCCTCTATCGGGCGCTGGTCAGACCGCAGTTGGAGTACTACGTGCAGTTCTGGGCGCCGCGCTTCAAGAGGGATGTGGATAACCTGGAGAGGGTCCAGAGAAGGGCCACTCGAATGGTTAAGGACCTACAGACCAAGCCTTACGAGGAGAGACTAGAGAAACTGGA